GTTCAAGGACTGGATCCTGCCCTATGGAGCAGGGGCCAAGCAAATTCTAGGACAGAATTAATAATCATGGCTGGAAACTAAAAAACGCAAATTTAAAATTTATCTAAGGAAAAACTTCTCAAGAATTAGAACTCTCCAAATGTAAAATGGGTTACCTCAGGACCAGTTAGTTCACTGTAGTCTAACTCTGAGGTTCATCTTAAAAAATGAATGAATGAAGAAATGAATGAATACATTTTTTTTTTATTTTTAGGTAATTGGGGCTAAGTGACTTGCCCAGGGTTACATAGTTTCAAGTGTTTGGTCTGAGGCCAGATTTGAACTCAGGTACTCCTGACTTCAGGGTCGGTGCTCTATCCACTGTGCCACTTAGCTGCCCCAGACGAATACATTTATTAAGTGGTTACAGTGTTCAACACTCTATGCAGAGCCCTGGGAATGTAAACACAAAAACTGAGGCAGTTCTTGCTCTCAAGGAACTCACATTCTATTGGAGGAAGCAACACAGCTGGCTAGAAGACAGAGGGAAAGGCCTGACAGTTCTTGGCCTAGGACAGCCAAGCTCGTGGCAGTGCTTCTTCCCTGTCACTTACATTAATAAAGCCATTTTTATTTCAAATGTTGACTCCTTTGAGAGTACCAAGGAATCTGGTGTTGAGAATTTTCTTTCCTAAGTCTTCAGTAACTGTGGCATCAGCCCCCCTAGAAACAGATTCCAGATCCCCCACACCTTCACAGGGAGTGATGCCTGGGATTATGGCTCTGAAGGTCAGGTTAGAATCATGGATGGTGTTTGGGGGAGGTGCTGTCACCCCCCCAAGTTCTTGGGTTTACCTACCCAATTTAGCAACTGGTCAGCCATTGGTAATTGTGAAGAGGGTGAGACCCTTTTCCCACAGTGATTGCTCCCTCAGTGATGGCTGCAGTACCTGGGTTGGAAGTAAACCTGATGATCTAGGGTGTGCTGTCCCCCTCCCAAGGATCTTGGGTTTACTTGCCAGTAAGAGACCATAACACTACCTACCTATTGGTAACACTCTATTCTGAGTGACATGATGAATGCTTCTCCTTCTGTTTCAGGGAGAGAATCAGGTTATTAGGGAGTTGAGAGGAGCATTTTTCCAAAAGACAATTGTGTATATGTATGTCTGTTTCATGCAGCATTTTTGACCTACTTTTCCTGCTCTTATTTCACTAAATGTCTTCTGTTGATCATTGAATGTCAGACTGGTTTGATTTTTGAAAGAATTCATTCACAGGATAGGATTTTGAGCCATGCTGACCAAATCTGCTTGAACTTGCTAACTGAAAATAGCATCCGAAGCTCAGGAGGCAGCAAAGGCCCCCAGAGTCATCTGGGGACCAGGAAGTGAAAAACCATGCTGTGTGAGTTTGTACACAGTAACAGCCACATTGTGTGATGACTGTTGTTGATGGACAGCCCTTCTCAGCAATGCAAGGATCTCAGACATCTGCAAAGGTTTCATGGTGGAAAATGCTATCCACATCCAAAGAAATAACTATGGAGTTTGAATGCAGATCGAAGCACACTATTTGCTATTTTTTTTTCTCTTTTCTTTTCTTTCCTCTTTCTGGTGATTCTTCCTATTGGTTCTAATTCTTCCTTACAACATCACTAATGTGAAATTATGTTTAACAGGAATATATATGTATAGCCTATATCAGATTGCATGCTAACTTGAGGAGAGAAGTGGGGAGAGAGGGGGAGAAAAATTTAAAACCCAAAAGCTTATGTAATGTTGATAAACCAAAATAAATTAAGGGAAAAAAATTAAAGAACAGATAATAAACTGAAAGCTCCCTGTTCACATCCTTGACCACCAATCTATTTGGGATTGGCTTTTTGGCTTCATACATTTCAGTCAGTTCCATATACATCTTAAACATGGGATCTTTATCAGGGAAAATTCGTAAAAGTATATTCCCCAGCTACCTATTTCCCTTCTAATTTTTACTATATTTGTTTGTGTAAAACCTTTGTAATTGTCTAAAATCACAATGAGCTCTTTTACCTTGTGTGATTCTCCCTGTCACTTATTTGGTCCTGAACTCTTGCCCTCTCTATAGGTCTGAAAGGCAATGTCTTCCTTGTTTCTCTGCTTTGCATATGATCTGACCTTCTATATGCAGGTCCTGTATTCTTTTCTCAAGGATACTAAGAATCTTAAGAAACTTCTCTAGACCTATCAAAGGAGGTGTTAGCTGAAACCTAATTTCTATCACACTGATGTCCAATTTTCCCAAATGGTTTTTGTCACATAGTGAGTCATTCCCCTAGCAACTGAGGTCTTTGTGTTTATCAAACACTATGCAGCTTGTGATGTCATAGTGAATAGAGCGCATGTTCTTGGAGTCAGGAAGATTCATCTTGCTGAGTCCAAATCTGCCTCAGGCGCTTCTTACCTATGTGACCCTGGGCAAGTCACTTAGCCATGTTTGCCTCAGTTTCCTCATCTTTAAAATGAGCTGGAGCAGGAAGAGGCAAACCACTCCAGTATCTGTGCCAAGAAAACCTCAAATGGGGTCATGAAGAGCAATAGCACTTCCAAGGCCATATAATCTATGAGCCTACCTCTATGAGGGGTCTTTGGTTGAACAGGAAGACAGCCAAATGACCATCCTTTTATTAAAATGCTGGCATTAGTAACAAAATGATCAAATTAACCAGAAATCATGTCTCTTGAGCCTTTTTCAACACCATAATGCCATCTAGACCTTTTACAGATGCATATGGAGAAATTGAGGAAGCTGTAGACACATGTGGTTTGGAAACCACACCCCCCACCTCCACAAGCAGTGTTTCTGGTGCCCTGGCAGCACCTGGGCATGCCCTACAGAACACAGAGTATCCCATTACAGTTTCTATGTGTCTCCTCAGTCCAGGTCACCACTCCCCCATGCCATTCCCTAGGCACCTCTGAGGCAATTTAGAAGAGTGGAAGGAAGGCTGAACATGGAGACAGAATTCAATCGAGCAAACATTTATTAAATACAAAGTGTGGCGAAGGCATTGGAGAGACCAAAGGAGGAAATCAAGGCCTGTCCCCAAAGAGCTTACATTCCCCTAGCATCTGGGGAAGAGGAGATACAGTATATACACAGTTAAGTCATTGCAAGTAAATCTGGTGTAGAGTTGGCCTCCCCACTGGGAAAACTAAGATTCAAGTCATGGGATCATAGATTTGGAGCCATGAGCAACCTTCAAGATAGGGCAACCCCCTCATTTTAGAAGTGAAGAAATTTCAAGCCAGGATGGATAAGAGATTTGTGCAAGATCGCAAGGGTAAGAAGTGACAAAAGTGGGATTTGAGCCGAGATCCTATAAGTCCAGAGCCAGTGCTGTCCTGTTTCCTGCCTCATCTAGTTTTGTGATTCAGGGCATGTCATTAACCTCTTAGCACCCTAGGCAGTTCGGGTAACTAAGTCTTTAAGGCTAAAATTACTAATGGCAATGAAATCACAGGAGAGACAGATAGATGCAGACAGAGACAAAAATATGGAGGAAGGAAGGAAAGAAGGAAGAAAGATGAGATAGGAGGATAAGGAAGAGAGAGAGAATGGGAGAGAGAGGAAGAAAAAGAGGGAGAGAGAAAGAAAGAGATAGAAAGAAAGAGAGAGAGAGAGAGAGAGAGAGAGAGAGAGAGAGAGAGAGAGAGAAGAAAAAGAGAGAGAAAGAAAGAAAGAAAGAAAGAAAGAAAGAAAGAAAGAAAGAAAGAAAGAAAGAAGGAAAAAAAGAAAGACACTAGTAAATGGTAATTTGAGTTCTAGACTTATTTATTCCTGGTTGTGTTATTTTGTGCAGTGCTGTATACAAGACAAAGTTCTGGACTCAGAGGAAGGAAGACCGGGGTTTGATATCTCCTCAGACATTTACTACAAGTGTGTATACCTTAAGCAAGTCGCTGAATCCTTCTTGGCTTCAAATTCCTTATTCACAGAATGAGGGTGCTGGGCTCAGTAACCTCAAAGGTCCCTTATGTGCCTAAATCTAAGGTGCTATGTTTCTTTCTGAGCCTCAGTTTCCTCAAGAGTGAAATGAGATTGGACATACTCAAGCAACAAGCCAAGGGCCTTCATAGTAAGTACTTAGTAAATATTAAGCTGAAATGTTTGTTAAAAAATGACCTTGCTACTGGGACTGAATACTTTGTTCTGTTTCTCTCTAATACTTATATTTAATGAGATACTAGCATTCCTTGTCTTTGCATCATATTTCCTGGCTATAATAGAAGATGCATGGGGGCAGGGAATTTGACTTATCCAAATCCTGTGTCTCCCCCACTGCATAGTCTGAAATGGGAAATTCTGGAGACTATGGCTCTAATCATGGAGACTTTAGCAAACGAACACTAAAGGAGCTTATCCAAGTGAGTCCAAGGCACTGACCCATATACCTGAGATGCTATGCCCTGTGAAGAGCTAACACTGTTCAGTAGTAGAGTGCGCCAGCCCTAGCAGTGGACTGGACTTGCATAGCAGTAAGGCCATCCATCGAGCACAGACACATGCTCAGCAGTGAACTTTGCAAGGACATTTCAGGAAAGACAAAAGTCATTGAGTCTCTGAAGTTGCAGAGTTGTAAGTTACCTTGGTCACATGTGTTCCCTGTACCTGTGCTTCTTTATCATTCATTAAGAGTTGCTGCTTACTCTCTCCCCTCTTACAGATATACACTGTGCGTATTGGCAGGAAAGCGGGTCCCAGGTTTTGGGAAGGGATGCTTTGCAATTCTTGTTACGACTTTTGAATGTTATAGGGAAGCACACTGGGGGGGGGCTCAGGAGCTACAGTGTTAGAAATATGGTGGCCCTATAACCCTCTGAGGATCACCATCATTGAAGAAGAGTATGTTTGAGGAGGGGCTGCTATACTGGGCTTTACTAGACTGAGACAAAAATATAGAGTCAGACTAATGTGAAAATATGCTTTATCTCTTTACTAGACTGAAAGTTCCATGAATATGAGGAATGTATCTTATCCACATCTCTCAGCAGCAGGTTTTTAATTCATGTTATGGAGGGGTGGAACTGCCTTGCAGACCGTCCAGTGTAGAACCCAGGCTGAGGCCTCAACAGTTGCTCATTGGAACTTAATCTCTGAGTACTCGGTGAGGGCGTCAGTGGGTCCACAGTCTTCTCTTGGTTTCACTCCTTGGAAGTTGAGGCAGGCATAATGTAAGTCATCTGGTCTATCCTCTGGGGCTGCTGGGGCTGGGGCTGTGTCTGGACCTGGTGAAATGGGATGCAGGGACTGGTCCACCCAGGACAGCATCTTGGGATCCTGGAGACAGGGCAAGGGGACGTTGAGGCAGGGCAGGTCCCCCGTGTCACGAGAGACAGAGCAGAAGGTGGGGAGAGATGGCCTTGGGACACAGAGGGAGCTGGGGACTGAGAGAGTTGGGTGGACAATTGGGGACTGGGGGCTGGCATGCTCTACCTGTGCTGCCCCCCTGGATGCTGCTGCTTCTGCTGCTGCTTCTGCTGCTGCTGCCACTGACTTCTTTCTGAGCATTCTTTACCCTGAGGAGGTAGAAAGGCAGAGTTGGTGCAGGGGAGAGAAACTGAGGCTTGGATCCAGAGAATGAGGGCCCTGTCACTCTCTGCCTGACCCTGGGCATGTCATTTTCCTTCAATGGCCTCCTCTTTCTTCAATTGTAAAATGTAATTGTGGGTCCCTGAGGTCCCTTCCCCTGTGACATTCTCCTGTTCTGTGATCTTCAGTCACCAAATCCCACAAACATGTGAGCCACAGGAGTGTCTAAGAAAGACCATTGGGCTAAGGATCAAGAGACTTGCACTTGGCACACTTTCGCTCTGAGATCTTGGGTGAATCCCCTCCTCACTCTAGGCCTCAGTTTCCTCATCTGTAAAATGAGAGGCTTGGATAAAATTGTCACTAAGGACTCTTTCAGTTCTACATCCTGTGATCCCATGGGATGATACTGCTTCCAATCATCAGGACCTGAAGGCTTTATCTACTTTGCTTCCCAAATGGCTCCCCACTGGAGCAAGTCAAGCCATCTGCTCCTTTGTAATAAATTCCCTATCCCACTAACCACAGCATGGACTCCAAACCTTCTCATCTGTCCTCAGGCCTCTCATGACACCTCACCCCTTACCCTCTCAGCTGAGTACTGTACCTCAGACTTCACCCAAAAGATTGAGGCCTTTGGCTGAGAACTCTTCCTGTCCCCTCTGCCTGTCTACTGACTCCTACCCCACTACCAATGAACATTTCTATGTTGCCTCCATCCTTAAGAAATGCACATCACCAATCACTCCTGAAGGAGATCTCAAAATGAAAACCCTGAGGAATGTGCTAGTCCAATTCCAGAGCTCTGAGGTCAATGAGAAAATATTGCAAACAGCCAGAAAGAAACAATTCAAAAACTGTGGAACTTCATTCAGGATCACACAAGATTTAGAATTAACAACTGTAAAGGGCTGCTAGGTAAGACAGTGGACAGAGTGCCAGGCCTGAAGTCACAAAGACTCATCTTGCTGAGTTCAAATTCAGCCTCAGACGTTTTCCAGCTGTGTGACCCTGGGCCAGTCACTTAACCCTGTTTGCCTCTTTTTCTTCTTCTTCTATAAAGTGAGCTGGAGAAGGAAATGACAAACCATTCTACTATCCTTGGCAAGAAAACCCCAAACAGCATCACAAAGAGTCAGACCCAAATGAAATGACTGAACAAAAACTTTAAGGAAGTGGACAGCTTGAAATATGATGCTTCAGAAGGCAAAGTAGCTAGTATTACAACTAAGGATACTCACCTAGCTGCCAAAACAGACTATAATCTTTCTGGGGGAAAATGTACACAATGAGAGAGAAGAGTTTCAAGCATTCCTGATGAAAAGAACAGAGTTGAATGGAAAATTTGACGTTCACACACAGGACTCAAGAGAAGTATAACAAGGTAAACCTGAAAGAGAAATCATAAGGGACTTCATGAGGTTAAACTGTAAAGTTTCTATATTCAAAGATGATACTTGCAACCCCTGAGAACTTTATCATTATTGGGGCAGTTAGAAGCGTTATACAGAGAAAGAAGGCCCAGGTATAAATATGTTACATCAGGATGATGTTAAAAAGAAAGAATGGAAGTGTAAGAAAGGGGTATTCACTGGGAGAAGGGGAAAGAGAGAAAAACAATAGGGAAAATTATCACACATGAAAGAGGCATTCAAGGAAGAGCTTTTACAATGGAGGAGGGAATGGAGGGAAAGAGTGGTAACACTTCAACTTCACTCTCATCTGAACTGGCTCAAAGAGCAAACAGTACACACACTCACTCACACATGTACACACACACAGAGTCAGGTTTAGAAATTCATCTTAACCAACAGGAAAGGAAGAGGAAGAGGAGGCCTAGCAATACCAGATCTCTACAAAGCAGTAATCATCAAAACAACGTCCTCCCATATAGAAACAGAGTGTTTGATTAATGGATTAGGCACACAATATTTCAAAGGAAATGACCATAGTACCTAGAGTTACTCAAAGACATACTCAAAGATCCAAGCTATTTGGATAAAAACTCATTATTCTACAAACACCACTGGGGAAAAAGGAAAGCAGTCGGGCAGAAACGAGGTATAGACCAAATCTCAGCCCACATAGCAAGATCAGCTCAAAATGGATACATGATTTAGATGCAAAGAATGATATCATAAGCATATTAGAGGAACATGGAAAAATTACTTATCAGATCTATTGATAAGGGAAGAGTCTACAGAAGAGATAGACAGGATCATAGGAGGCAAAATGTATATTTTTGATCACGTGAAATGAAAAAGTTTTCCACAAACAAAACCAATGAGGCCAATATTAGAAGGAAAATAGTAAACAAGAAAAAAACCACATTCCTTTGATAAAAGTCTCATTTCCCAAATTTATAGGGGACTGAGGCAAATATATAAAAAAGAGACATTTTTCAATTAATACATGGTCAAAGCACATGAACAGGCAGTTTTCAGAAGAAATGAAAGCCCTCAATAATCTTGTGAAAAAATGCTCTGTCATTGATCATTAGAGAAATGCACATTAAAACAACTCTGAAGTACTATCTGATACACATTATACTGAGTGTATGTAACAGAAAAGAAAAGTGTCAAACACTGGAGGTGATGTGGAAAAATAGGGAGAGTGATGCACTTTTGGTGGAGCTACGGACTGGTCCAACCACTCTGGAGAGCAATCTGGAGCAACGCCCCCAAAGGGCTATAAAACTGTATACCTTTGACCCCCCAATACTGCTAGGAGGACTGTACTCCAAAGAGATAAAAGACAAAGGAAAAAGACCTAGATGTGCAAAAAACTATTTATCGCAGCTCTTTTAGAAGGGGCCAAAAATGGAAATTGAGGGGACACGGATCAATCAGGGAATGGCTGAACAAGCTGTGGTGCATGATTATGATGCAATAATATTGTGCTGTAAGAAATGAAAAGTGAATGAGTTCGGAAAAGCCTGGGAAGACTTATGTGAACTGATGCAAAGTGAAGTGAGCAGAAGGAGGAGAACCTTGTGCACAGTAACAGCCCCCATTTATTGGGAGGATGATTAACCATGAAAGATTTAGCTACTCTAATCAAGACAATGATCCAAAAAGCTCCAAAGGTCTCATGATGCAAAAGCTGTGCACTTCGAAGAGAAAACTGAGGAACTCTGATGTGGATTGAAGCATTTTTTCACTTTTTTTCTTTTTCTTTCTTTTCTTAGCTTTTGGGGGGATTACATTTTGCATGACTTCATATGTATACTGGGTATTGTATTCCTTTCCTTGTCGATGAATAGGGGAGGGAAATAATTGAGAACTGGAAGTAAGAATTTTATTTAAAAATGAAAAAGAAAAGTAAAAAATAAAAAGACTGATGTGGATGCAGAAGGAGCTCACCAATGCAGCTGGGTTTCTAACAAAAAGAGACAACAAGAGGAAGCTGAATGCACATGTAGCACTGCTGAGGGAAGGTGTGATGGGGACGTTCAAGCTGGGAAGGAGCCAAGCTGGGGAGAGAAGCCGAGGATGATGGAAAGGTCAGAGAGGAGAGGCAGGAAAAGGCACAGGGCCACTGCTTGGAGTAGATGGGAAAAGGATAAGGCACTGCAAAGAGAAGGCAGAATCTCATCTCAGATTTGTTTTCTCCATCAAGATGAAAAACCATCAGAGAGAAAAGGATGTAACAAAAATGATGGAGGCTGAGAAACCATGTGAGAATTTCAGTTTGGCTGCTTAACTGGGATTTTGTTGGACTGGGTATATTTCGTACAAGGATTTCTCATTAGGAGGGAGAAAAAATAAATGCTAAAATTAAAAAGAAAAACCAACAACATTTTTAAAGAGAGCAGAGGCTCCACAAAATGGAGGAGGGCAATGTCCTAATCTTTTTCAAAGAGCCTCTTACCCTTGAATCTTCCCCCTCCTGTCCAGGATAATATAAATACCTGTTCTGAGGAATGATCAGGCCCATCGGCCAACCATCTCCTCCTCATCTTATTGCTCTGGGGAAAGGGCACTGGATGATGCAGGGGCCAAATCCCTCTGTGCCACTCCCTGTCTGTGCCACTGAGCCCATCATTCAGCTCAGGGAATTGAAAGGGGGTGGACCAGGGAAGGAAACAAGAAGGCACTAACCACCTACTGTGTGCCAGGCCCTGTGCCAAGGACTTAACAGATACGACCTCAATCAATGATAATAATAAATAACATTTCTACATTACTTACTACATGCTAGGCACTGTACCAAGCACTTTACAGAGAAGATCCCATTTAATTATCATAATAGCTCACATTTAAATAGTGCCCTACAAGTTAGGTACTCTTATTACACCCATTATACATGTGAGGAAACTGAGGCAAACAATTTAAGTGACTTGCCCAGGCTCACACAGACTTCTAAGTGTCTGAGGCAGGATTTGAACTCAGATCTTCATGACTCCTGGCCCACTGCTCTATCCACTGGGCCCCCAGTTTCCACATTTGGTTCTGGAAGCTCCACTGGATCTGGAATCAGGGGCCTGGATTGTTTTAAATCATGACTTGACTACATACCAGGCCATATGTGCAACCCTGAGCAAGTCACATCTCCTCTATGACTCTCTGATTGGTTTTTCAATCTGCAAAAGGAAGAGAACTGAAACTTCCCTTCCTAAAGTCCATCTTATATTTCTGTTAAACCTGTGCCCGAACCCAGGGAGACATCAATATCTGAGGCTTTCTGAGACATCAAAGCAGGCTATAATTCCCTAAATCACCCCCAGCCCCAGATCTCCTCCCCATCCCAGCCTCCACACTCACAGAAGGAGGAGGCAGAGGGCTAGCAGACTTGCTGTAATAGCTCCGCAGAGGGCACCCAGGATCACACCATTTTGGAATACATGAGAAGGCGTGGGCCTATCTGGAAAAAAGGAAATCTGGAGTGAACATGGGTGGTCGCCACATTTGGCCCACTGTCCTCAGGGCCCTCAGCTCCAGCTTCACTCCCTCTCCCATCCCTCACCTGTCACCAGCTGGAAGAGCAAGGTGTGGGTCCCCTGTGGGTTCTTCCCCTCACAACTGATCTTAATGGTGGGGACCCTGTCCAGTTTCACACACAGGCTGCTGTTGTCCCAGGGCCCAGACCTGTTTGATATCACCTGGAAGGTGTTGCTGCTACCACTGCCCTCCACAGGCTTCCCCCCTACCCACCACTGCAAGGAGGGGGCTGGCTCTGCCTGGACAGAACAGGTACAGAACAAGCCCTCCTTGACCCAGGAGCAAGAAGGGCTGAGCATCCTTGGGGGGTCGGTGGGAAGATACAGGAGATTCCCCCTTAGTGGGTGATACTGTCCTTATCCCACCAGCAGCCACGCACCCCATGGTGCCCAGCCCCATCACACTCACACTGCACAGAGACATTTAGGGAGGCCTGCTTGGAGCCCAGAGGATGCTGAGCAAGGCAGATGTAATTCCCTCCATCTGCTGGCCCTAGGTGGGGCAGATCCAGGTGCAGGACTCCATTCTGTGAAGGCTGGGAAGAGGCCAGGGTTTGGTCCCCCAGGAGCCAGCTCAGTGTGGCTGGGGGATTGCTGTTGGCAGCACAGAGCAGGCGAAGGGACTGTCCCTCCTGCACCACAAGATCTGAGCTGTTTCCTGAGATGAAAACTGAAAAAGATCAGGATGTCCCAGGAGTGAGAACCCGGAGGGACTTAAGATCCCTAGTCCCCACCTTCACTGTATCCAGTAGGGTCCTGGGAGCTAGAGAGCTGATGTGACTTTCCCAAGGTCACACAAGGAAGGGGCAATTGGAAGAGGACAGGAGACCAGGCAGGAAGGAAAACCCCCAGGCCCAGTCCAGCCTGCATTCCTGCCCCCTTCTCCCTTCACCCTGGCTGCTCCCCAGAGGCAGACAAGGGAGGCCTCCCCTGTCTACCTTCCTGCTACCAGCCCACACTCAGCCCAGTTCATGTTCCCTGCCTTTCCTTCAGATTGGGTTTTTTGTTTATCTTCCTTTCCTCTCTTCCTTCCACTTCTTCCATCCTTTCTTCTATCATTTTATTTCTTTTACTTTATCTTCTTTTTCCTCTTTTTTCTTCCTTCTTTCCTTCATGATTTTCTACCTACCTTCCATCTTTCTTCTTTTTCCCTTCCTTTTATTTTTTCTTTATCTCTATCACATCTTGCTTTCCTTCATTTTTCCATTCTTCTTGCCTTTCTCTCTTCCTTTCTATTTTCTTCCTCTTTCTTTATTTCTTTCTGCCTTTTTTCTTCCTTCCTTATGTGTTTCCAACCTTTCATCTTTCCTTCCTGCCTTCAATCCTTTCTTTCTTTTTTCTTTCTTATTTCCTTTCTTTATCTTTTGTTTCCTTCATCTCTTCCTTCTGGGTCTAGAGAATGAGATTCCCTGTCTCTCCTGTCTCCCTCACCTCCCTGACATCCATGCCCACCCTCAGAGTAGCAGCTGAAGGACCAGGTCCCCTCCCTGCCCTCCCCCTGGGGCTCTGCTAATACCTGTTGTCCTGCTGTCCTGGGCGGTGGTGATAGTCATATTCTGCACAGCATCTGCAACAGAAGGACCAGGCTGGCTGGGGGCTGGGGCTCTCTGCCCAGCCCAGCCTCAGGCAGGGAAGACATTAAATTCAGAAGCACAGAACTTCAGAGGGGAAGGGAGCTCAAAGACCATCCAGGATAATCACTGTGTGACTGACACTGGCACATGAAACCACAGAGACTGAGAGAGAGAGAAAATAGGAAATGCCAGACTGTGTCTGCTGGGATGCAGCTCTCCCTGCCCTGGGCCAGGAAAAAGGCATCTGGTTTCCCAGGGCTGGGCCAGGGCCGTGGACTCTTGATGCACCCCTCCCTCCTCCCTCACTGGGGGATGCAGGCCTCCTGCACCTAGCACTCACAGGACACGTTGAGTTGGACGGTTCTCTCTGTGCTCAGACGGCCTCCAGGAAGGGTCACCTGACAGGTGAGGTTGGTGCCATGATGCTGGTGCCCAGGGATGAAGGAGACCTCTGAGGAGTGGGATGCCCAAGAGCTTTGTGTCTTGGAGAAGAGGGCAGTCCCCCTCCAGGAGAATTTGAAGGGCCTGTTTTCCCCACAAGTCCAAAGAAATGTACAGTTCAGAGTCACTGGGTGCCCTGACTCTACAATCTCTGGAATAGAGATGTCTGGTTTCTGGATCAAGTCTGGAGAGGAGAGAGACAGTGAGCCATGGGCTAGGGAGGAAATTAGGCCTCAAGTGTCCTTCCAGATGCTGACACCTCCCCCTTCCCTCAGATCCCTACACTGTTCCCCTCATAGTACGACCTCGTTCAGCCCCCTGCTCCTTACATACCTTCTGAGCCTCTCTTGTCATGCTCAGGACTTGAGTCGTGCATAGATTATAGGTCAAGAGGAAGTTGCCTTAGACCCAAGAGAGAACAAGTCCTTCATTTGACATAAGGAGAAACTGAGTCCCAGAGAGGGAGGGGAAAATTCTAGGACCAAATGCCCCAAAGAGAGTGAGTCTGAAATCTGGGATTTGAATCTACTTCCTTGGACAACAGACCCAGAGTTCTTTCCAGCACAAACCATGGCCCCTGTCAGCCTTACCTGGAGTCCTGGTTCCTCACACAGAGGAGCCTTCCACATGCCCTCCCCTTTGCAGCTCTGGAGCTTTCGGCAGGGTCTTCACCTCCTTCCCTGGGGCTGCCCCTCTCCCTGAGTGCAATCCTCACCTGTCCCCCTCCCACAGGGAGCTTCAGGGTCTCCAAGGCCAGTCCTTTCCCCGGATCTCCCTGCCTCATACACTGAGAATCTCCCCGAAGAGGAGCATCCTACCTGTCACATTCACGTAGAGTAGCTTTTTCATATATTTATAATATCCATTATGAAGACTGAAGAAGTATTTCCCAGTGTCTGAGGACTGGGCCTCTGTGATGCTGAGAGAGCAATTGTTCATTTTGGGATCCCCAAGGAGATGGAATCTCCCCTTGTCTTGCCCCTTCACCCTCTCATCTGGGTCATTGGTGGCCACGATCTTGTCATGAGTAGGTGGAATCCCTTTTCTGAACCAATACCCGTAAACTGAGTTGCGGTCATCACGTAAGCGGGCATTATCATTGAAGGTGCAGAGAACATGGGCACACATCTCCTCCTGCAAAGTCACTGAGAGCTGCCCCTGCAGTGTCTGGGACAGGGACCCTGAGGACAGACAGAGGCCTGGTCAGCATCTCCAACTCTTCCCACCCACCTCAGACCAGTGTCCCTCTGCCCCAGCCCCACTCACCCTCCCAGAGCAGGGGCAGCAGCAGCAGCAGCAGCAGCAGCATCTATGAGACAGGAGAAAGCCAGGTTCTGCTGGGGTGCTGTGTCACTGCCTGAACTCCATGGCTCCCTCTGGCCAGATGTGTGAGGTTCAGGGCAAAGAGGAAGATGAAAGAGGAAGCCCATGTGCGGAGAGAGAGGGGGGACCATCCTCAGAAGAGGAACCCCTGTCCTCTTCCCCCTGTCCTCCTAAGCTGAGCTCAGTGGGGAGGGGCCTCCTACTCCAGGGACAGTCAGGACTCAGGTGCTGGTGTTGGGGGAGGGACAGCTCTGCTGCTCAGGCTGTGGCCGTGGATGTTTTGTGGAATAACGTGTCTCTGTGGGTGAGAGGGGTGCAGTGACCAGAGCCTGTCCCAGAGCAGGGGCTGACCATCAAACACTGCTGCCCCTGTCCTTTGCCAGCTGACCTGGGGTCAGGAACAGCTGAGCTGGAATCCTGCCTCAGACATGTCCTGCATGGCATTTTCCCTGTGTGAGCCTTAGTTTTCCCATCTGTAAAATGGGGATAATAATAGTACCTCCATCTCAGCCTTGTTGTGAGGATCAAATGTGATATTTGCCAAGTGTTTTGCAGACCTTGGTTCACAGTGGCATAAATATTGGTGGTTATTATTACTTTACTCTTCTCTAAGATCTCTCTAATCCAGCTACACTGGCTGGTTGCGTGCTCTTCAGGCAAGACTTTCCATCTCCCATCTCCAGGCCTTTGCCCTGGCTGTGCCCCCATGCCTGGAAGGCTTTCACCCCTCCTTTCCTTTTTCCTGGCTTGAACCAAACTTCATCTCCAATGCCATCTCCTGCTTCCACTTTCCATTTATCTTCTACTCTCTTTCCCTCTCCTAAATACCTGGTTACTGATGGGGTGTCATCGCACTAGAAGGAATGTTCCTGCTGGATGGGGGCTGGTTTGCCTTTCTTGGTATCCTCAGTGCTCGGCACAATGCCTAGTACATAGCAAGCAATTAATAAATGCTTGTTGACTCTTGACTGGTTGCCGGTTCATTATTTGGATTCCATGGTCTTTGCCCACAGTGTTTCCCTCATTCACCTTTCCCACGCTTCATCAATTCATACTCATCTTCTCTGTGTGCCCATACCCCCACAAGCACCATTTCCCAGTATTTTCATCCCACATAATTCTGTCAGCTTCCCCCCTCCTTTGGATCCCCACTGTCCCTTTTCTTGTGGTCATGGCGGTATCTGAGCCACCACCATTTTTGCTATGGATGTTCTGGTGGTTATGGGACCCTTCTGTCTTGTCTTTGGTCTCCTTGGGATCCAATCTCAGTAAAAACCGTTGGCGGCTCATTGATGCAGGTTACGGACTGTCCTCCAAGCTTTCAGGTACAAACCGTGCAATTACTTAGGAAGGGACTCCTCTGTGGCAGACACTGTGCAGGGCACTGCTGATTCAGAGACAGGGAGATGTTCCTGCCCTCAGGGAGCTTACAGTCAACTCAGGACGGGGGGAAGATAAACTCATGCATAGCCTAATAAAAAGCTCTTCTGGGTTCACTCTTCCAGCTCTCCCTCATCATACTGACAGTTTAGGGTGTGGGTGGGGAGAGGTAGAACACTGCACCTGGCCTCTTCCTCTGTTGCCCCTACTACCCTGTGCTATAGCACAGCTCGATATCTATTTATGTTTTGGCATGAGAAACCTTCTGGAGTATGAACTAACCACTTTGCAATATCTCAATTGATTTCTGTTGAGGGTAACCGTATCCCATTTGTATTATTCATCCTTAGCACGTGAAAAAACCCCAACAAAACCTGTTTCCCCCTCTTTATGGACACATATTACATCTGCTTTAGGGAACTGAATGTCTGATATCAATTATGACACTTCTCAGTATCTAAATTTGGAACTTCCTCGAGTCGGTGCCTTCTGTGTTCCCTCAATCTTACCTTGACTCTCTGTTTCCACTATGTTTGTGAAGTTTTTCTGTATGATTCCTCAAACATATTCAATGGCATTGGTTTTGTGTATTTTTGGAAGAAGTCCAATTCTTACATTCTTTTTTGTCATTCTGTCTGAATGCTCAGTTGGGTTGGGTTGTAGATATCTTAGATATTTTTCTAGACTTCACATATTTCGATTTTGTTCTTCTTTCTCCTTCTAACTCATCCCTGCACATTGAGTCAGTCAAAGGTCCAGAGTGGGTGTTACCATAATGGGAAAGATCCTTTAGTCCCTTCCATATCGTTGTCATTTGTCTTTCATTCTTGAAGAGGACCAATGACACCAGGGGCTGATAGTGTCTTGAATTGCAAGTGAATTGGATTTGAGTGTGGCAGAGATGTGCAAAGTCATCAGTCTCACTGTCTCCTTCAACGTCGTTTGAGTCCAGTGGAAGACATGGGGCAGGACACCTGGCGATGGCCCAGCTTGCAGTGGGAGACGTTGGCTCTTTGCAGCTAAGTGTGTCCCAGGTCTGAGTTTGTCAGAGGCAGCACCAGTTCAGCATGTAAAGGTCAGGCAAGAATGGAGGCAAACGATGGCTTAGTTTGCCTTCACAAAAGAATCAGTCTGAGAGGGGAAGACCCTCAGAATTTCTGTCCAGAGCAGAAACAATTGCTATTTACACTCACTCTGAGCCATCAGAACTCAAACAATGAGCAAGTGATGCCTGGGCTAGGACCTATTATTGCCCAATCACTGAAAGGCAGAGTGATTTGGGGTTAAAGGGATAGTCAAGCAGCTCTATTTGGACCCTAATAGGCTTTATCAAAGCCTGGTTTTCCAGAGCTACATGTCAAGAGATCATAAATGAAAACTGTGTGAGACAGGAGTTAATTGTTCCAGCTTTAAAAAATAAAAAGAGGGACTTCTGCTTCTGGGAGCCATGATGGCAGAGTGAAAAGGTAGCTACTCTCACTCTCCCCTATCAAACTCTGAAAACCCAGAAAGTATCACCCCAGAAAAAAACCCTGGGACAGCCAAACTAGAATAAAGATGGGAAGCAGCAGTGCAGCAGCCCACCAAACATGTCTCCCAGTGCCTCAGCAAAAATAATGGGGGCCGGACTACAAGGGGCCCCAGGCTGGTACGTACCCTGCGGCATTCTGAAAGGAGGTGAAGAAAACAACCTAAAGCCCCAGCCTCGCTGGTTCCAGCACAACACCAGGTGAGCTGTCGGAGCCCTGCAGCCTCCAATTGTGAAGAAATCCTGAAGCCCAGTCAGTAGAGCAGGCAAACACCAACACCCGGACCTCTGAATGCCTCAGTAAGGGTAGGGGAACTGGTGAAAACCAGCTCAGAAAACCACCAGGTGCCTTGGCACTCTACCACAAAGGAATCTCCCAGTGCATTAGCAGAAATGAGGGAGACAACACTGCAGGGGGCCCCAGGCAGATAAACACCCTGCAGCACCCATCTAAAAGGAGCTGAAGAAAGCTAAAGGAAAGGAAAAGCAGGCAACCTAGAATTGCCTGAAAGTTCCAACCTTGCTGATTCCAGCCCAACACGAGGTAAGCTGCCAGAAACCTACAGCCTCCAATTGCCAACATAAGAGGCCCCAGCACACAAAGCCAGTGACCAAGACCTAGGCTCCCAACACAAGAAGCTTGGGTCAGTACCCTCTGTTCCCCAGCAGGAGAGCTCAATCTCTTTAAAGGCCAGGGAATAAAGAAACACCATGAGTAAAAAGAAACGTACCATAGATTCATATTATGAGAAGAGTGAAGATCAAGACAGAAATTCTGAAGAGGACAACATTGTCAACAAACCCACATCTGCAACAACAAAAGGGAATATGAACTGGTCTGAAGCCCAAAAAGCCTTCTTAGAAGAGCTCAAGAAGGATTTTAATAGTCAAATGAGAGAGGTAGAAGAGTCCTTCAAAAATACAATTGGCCAATTGGAAAAAAAATACACTGAAGAAAACAAGTCCCTAAAAAACACAATTGGCCAATTGAAGAAGGAAGTACAAAAACTAACAGAAGAAAACAATCTGTTAAAAACTAGAATTGGACAAATGGAAACTAATGTCTCTATGAGAGAGCAAGAATCAGTCAAACAGAAAAAAAAAAATGAAAAAATAGATGAAAATAAAATACCTCATCAGTAAAACAACCGACCTGGAAAATCGATTCAGGAGAGACAATTTAAAAATTATTGGACTACCTGAAAATCATGATGAAAAAAAGAGCCTGGACAGTATCTTTCAGGAAATCATAAAGGAAAACTGCCCGAAGTCCTAGAACCAGAAGGGAAAATAACCATAGAAAGAATCCACGATCACCACCTGAAAGAGATCCCAAATTGACAATGCCAAGGAATATAATAGCAAAATTCCAAAATTACCAGATGAAAGAGAAGGTGCTGCAAGCAGCCAGAAAGAAACAATTTAAATATCATGGAACCACAGTCAGGATTACACAGGACCTTGCAGCTTCTACATTAAAAGAGCGGCATGGAACATGATATTCCTAAGGCAAAGGAGCTTGGAATGCAGCCAAGGATCAATTACCCAGCAAAAATGAGCATCATTTTTCAAGGGAGGAGATGGATATTCAACAAAATAGGAGACTTCCAAACTTTCCTGATAAAAAGACCAGAGCTCAACAAAAAATTTGATCTTCAAGTACAGGACTCAAGAAGGACTTAAAAAGGTAAATGGGACAGAAAGATACAATATGTTGTTAATAAGGGGGGGCTGTTTAAACCCCTACAAGGGAATATGACACTTGCAACCCTTGAGAACTGTATTGTTATTACACCATGTTAAAGGAGTATACATAAAGAGGGTGGATATTAGTTGACTTTGATGTAATGATAAAAAAAAATCTAATCAAGTGGGTTAAATGGATCCAAATAAGTGGATCAATCTGATCTTAGAAAATGTACTGAGAAAGGAGGAGGCAGACAAGGGTAAATTACATTACAGGAAAAGACACAAAATCCTATTACAGCAGAGGGAAAGAAGGGGGGGTAAGCATTGTTTGAACCTTACTCTCATCAGATTTGGCTCAAGAAGGGCATAATAATCAGTTAGGTATAGAA